AGCCAGTAAACCAGCCGTCGGACTACCTCGTCCTAGAGAATCTCTGTCTCTCCATCGAATGCGACCAATCCAGCCAGGAAGTCAATAACTTCTTCTGCCGCAGAAAACAACCGGGTCTCAGGGGCTGCTAACTTGAAAGTTGGTGAAATATCACCCGCGCTAAGTAGTTTGCTTCAAATACGTCACAATTTTTTAAGAAACGTGTAAGAAGAAGATTACGTGTTCCGCACCCGGGGGAAGGGGGAATTTCAAATATCTTCGGTCGAGAGGCTCAATCAGAAGGTAACTTACAACAGCATGCATAGAAATAGAACGAAGAAAGCGAAAGCATAAGGATAGTAGCTATCCTACATATTCGCTTTCTCTCGTTTACACCATTGTTTCTGCGTCAGATAAAGAAAAAACAATCTGACTAGAGACTGCGGGGTAAAAGTAGCGCGGGTAAAAATAACCACATATCATTTCCTATAAGCCAACATCTTTTTCCTTTACATTATAGCATCTTTTCGGCCGAGTGTTCTTCTCCAGCGCGTAATAACCGACCACCTTCTTACGACTTCTTTCAAACTCAAAGTACCAACGAAAAGATTTTATCTGAGGAAGTCGTGCTTCCGAAAGGTTACGTTTCCAGCCGGTGTATTTTTTTCTGCGATTCGGAGGGGGGTGCAGAAAGCTGGGATAAATTATCTCCACGAAGGACTTTGACTAGTCTTCCACTTCATTTTTTACAGAGGCCGTGCACTCGACTTCTGCAGAAATGTATGAGGCCGGCAGCCATCAGATTAGCTACCCTCAGTCAGAAGAATAAAAATATATGCATATCTCTAGCCTATTTGAAACGCGTGGAGGGAGATAAGTGGTCGAATGTTGCTCTGACTTCGTCTAGATTAGAGATTAAGTAAATAGCATTTGCACTGTTTTGAAAAAAAGGCCTGTTTAAAAATTATCCAAAAAACAAACACGTTGACGGCCGTTAAAACAGGCGGTAGGACAAGGGAATAAGGCAGGTGAATTTGCGCTAAATTCGAGAGGGGGGGGGCTATCCCCGTGTCCTCCTCGCCCCAACCCTAATTCAACCCTAACCCACTAAAACTTGCGGCACAGCCACCTGCAATATGAGCGAGGGAAACGGTCCTAGCAGGTTAGCAAATTATAATTATCTCTACAACTTTATTTCGAACAAGATGGGGAAAAGAAGGGTCGCTAAAAATAAACTGTTGCAGGAATACTAAGAGGCATCGAAAATAACGCAACCAACCAAGTTGCGGAAATCAGGGCTAATATACACACCTTAGGAAAATATTATCGGCAAAGACAAGACAGACTTGAATGGCCATTTCTGGCTTATTAGCCGTCATCAGCCAGTCATACCCAGACCCAAGTGGTGTCCCACCTGAGCCTCGAGCTCGCGACTTGTTTGGTCAGAGTCAACCGCCCTCACCATGGAACTACGAACTTGTTATCTCGTTGGTTTAGTCCGAGGGATATTAGCACTCGTTTATGAACGTTCACCTGACCGCTGACGGAACCCATCTGTTCCGCTCTGTCTTTGACCTTGACAGAGGCCCTGATGGCTGTAACAGCTAGTAAAAGGCAGATAGTATTGCCGGAAAGGGAAAATTTGACATTTTAATTGGAATATACGTGCGTATTAAGCACTCCTATAAAGCATGTCTACTGTGCTGGAAATCATCCCCAATGCCAGGAGGCTCGCTATACTTCTAATGTGAGAAGTGGGAAGATTGAGAAAATTACTTCAACGTAAATGCTTGCAATGCAGTTCCAATGGCTGCTTCAAATGGGTCTGATAAAAAGAACTCATAGATATTGCGTTAGCGTCAGACGCCAATACTAACTGTCGCTGTGAATAACTAATTCATTCTATTCTAGGCGCAACGTGGTTTTTGTGTGGCGGCAAGTGATCGGATCAGTAAAGCAGATGAAATCCACCTTCAACAGTGTTCAAATTCGAACTGACCCAACGTTTACATTTATAATTATTCTGTTTGGATAACCTGGGATTTACAGTTAGAATCTATTATTACTGAGCATCTATTGTCCAACGTTCCGTCGTTGAACCAGGGACTGTTATTAAGTCGGTTGTGATTTGGTATAGTTGACATCGTGGAGACGGATTTTCAAAAATCAGGTTACAGGAAATGGTTTTGCAATTGTGCCCTGACGGTCACTCCAGAGCCCTTGTAGATAGTTGCACAACGACAAGTAAAATAAGCAGGAAGTTTATGCAAACCTGCTGTTGTGAATGGCCGGCTGATGATGATTAATAAGCCAGAAATGGCCATCCTAGTCTTATTTGTTTTGCTCGTTGACCAGCTTTCTGTATAATTACGCTCACGAGAACCATGGTTACATCGTCCGGACGCTTCAGAAGCAAGCAAGCTTAAATAGTCAGAAGTGTGCAACGGCGCCTAACAGAAGACATAGGGATTGCGGTCATGTAAGTGAGGCTTAATCCCTGCAGTTGGCGTCACGGCGGCAGGGGGGGGTGGTCGTCAATCGTCATGTCTTCCTTTTGGGGTGGGAGGCAGGGACATGGTTGGGCTTTGGTGCGCACAGTCAGCATACGCACAGGAACGATCTCCGCAATTAGCGTGACGGACTGCTGTCCATCCACATAAGCCATCTTGAGAGAAGACGAGCGGATGTGGTAACGGTGTTGGCATGCCTCCGGAAAGGTTCCGTCTGGCGCCTTGATCTGCTAATCTTTTCTCTCTATCTCTGACCCTTTGACCCCTTCTACAGGAGAAGATGCTGACGTGGCGGCAGTAACGGCTGTGCCTCCGTCAGATTCAGGCTGTAGTACGGCCCTTACGGCAGTCCTCCTCCGTGGGATCTGAACTAAGTCTGGCATCACGCTTGGGGGTGACGCCGGCCGCGTCAGCCGCCTGCGTCATCTCCCACCTCCGGGCTTCTTGCCTTGGTCATGATACTCAGCCTACGTGGTGGAGGAGAGAGTGCGGTTTATGCAGCACATGTCTACGACCACATACCATCTAATCCACGCCCAATTGACCGTTCTTGCACCATCTTTCTGTAGGGTACACAGTGGACCTCGACGGAATCGACAATCGAACCGTCATAATAGATGACTTCTTACGAATGTGTTTAACCAACTACAATGCTGATGTCCACTCCGGATCAGAAACTACATGTCCTATAGCCGCAGAGGACCGGTAACGCTCCTCGTGAAAAGCCAGCGTTTCCAGA